ATATGCACAAATGATTTTTTGGCACATTAAGGTTTTCACAAAACAAGGAAGGTATCCTAAATTCTAGATTTATACCATCCAACTCTGTCCCAACGTCCAATAAATTATAACAAGGTAGCTAAAACCAGACTTTTTGACACTTAATATAGAGATTCGGGGGAAATAACCTTTAAAAAGCATGTGATGAACATTAGGGACATTTAATTTGCATAGCAATGATCTTAGCAGATCTCCCTTATTACATATTTTAATGCATCATTTATGATCATCACCAACTTTGTTCTTTAACACTGTACTTGAATTCTATTTAAAAAATATTTCCTTGCTCTGTAGTAGATTTATAAAACTTTAGAGATTGTGCGTGTGTGGATCCAAACAACTTGTCTGCGGATGAAAAGTGGAATCGTGGATTCTGCTTGACCACCAAAAATGCTATGCTGGGAGTCCTGGAACCTGTATGGATAAAAGCCATGTGGGATGGCTGCTGTGGTGAAGAGTGAGATGGAGTGAAAATACTGGCTAGATCCAACTCTTGGCAACTAAGGAGGTCACCCTTGATTTCAGCACATCAACACAGAAATGCAAGATGCTCCTGTTCACACAAGTCCCTGTCACTAGTTTACAACAAACCAGGACAACATCCCTGTTAGCCAAAGTATAACTAGCTTGAAGGGATGCTGACAGACTGATGGTATTTTCTCCCACAAAGTTAGGGTATTTTCTGACTAAATGAACTGTGGGCTACTCCATGTGGTTTGAGCCATTTTTACAGAGTCCTCTTTAGTCCCCTATAGTTCAATAATAGGTTATGATGGAAAACAAGCATCCAGTTTCCCCTCCAGGGCAATTACTAGCACTCTCAACTAAGTACTACAGCAGCTGATAAGGAACCTGGGAAACTGCTGTGTTAATGAACCCTCACTATAAAATGTACCTGTCAATGAATATTGCAAAAGAAGAAGAAGATTCAATTGATGGGTACTAGAAACTGCCACAGGAAGTACTGAAGGATATTAGCTTAAATGTGTGTGCAAAGTGCAGTCAAGTTGCAGCCAACCTACAGTGACTCCAGTAAGGGGCTTTCAAGGCAAGTGAGAAGCAGAAGTGATTTGCCATTGCCTTCCTCTGCAGAGTCTTCCTTGGTGGCCTCCCTTCTAAGTATCAATCATGCTTAGCTTCTGAGATCCGATGAGACTGGGCTATACCATGCCACCTTGCCTTCCATTAGCTACTAATTATCAAAAGAATTGGCCAGTTTCATGGGGGTAAGCCAAATCAATAGAAACTCCAGGCTCAGCAGCCCACCTCCATTTATTAAATGCTGGGAGCAAACAACAGAGATGCCGGTCTCCATCATACCCTGGTTGCCGGATTCCGGACAGCATCTATCTCTCATTTTTTTGGAGCATGTGCTGGAACTCATAGTTCTAATGTTCTGTTTTTATGGTAGTAGGACACTTGGGAGAGATCTCTTAGCAGGGGATAGCAAAATGTGAAATTAATGCCATAGCTGAGAAAGTACAGACGATTGCCGGAAAGTAAAACAAACAACTCAGTGCTTTCTTTGAGGTGCCCTATGAAAATCAAAACACGAAGCAACAGCATCCCTGACCTGGATGGCCCAAGCTAGCCTGATCTTTTCAGATCTCGGGAGTTAAGCCCTGGTTAGTATCTGAATGGGAGACCAGCCAGGAAGTCCAGGGTCACTACACAGAGGCAGGCAACGGCAAACCACAGCTGAACATCTCTTGCATTGAAAACCCTACGGGGTCTCCATAGGTTTCCTTTAACTTGACAGCAGTTCACACACACAGAGTATCACTGAGTTATACCACATCACGCTGAACCAATAGAGAACTCTGTAAAAACTACAGATGCTTCCAAAATTCTGGTCTTTTACTATCTTCCTTTATTTTGAGGTTTCAAATTATCAGGTCTTGTTACTGAAGCAATAATAATAATAACAACAATGCACTAGGAATCCCTCATTGCTCCCTTTTTTAAAAAATTCAGAATTTTATACTGAACATCACATGTGCCATTTGTTTCATCTTTCAGATCCTTAAATTCATTAGCGCCTTTTTGAAACTTCTGTTACTGATACACATTGATAAAACATCACAAAAGGAAAATCTTGATCTGATTGTACGTAGGGTGGGTTGTATAAAACTTTTCCCTGTATGTATTTTTCCAAATGCATAGGTGTGCGCGTCAGGAAAACAGCAACACAAAGAATGTCAATGCAATGGAATGTACAATTACATCAACAGTGTGATAACTTGCAGAATGCTGAGAATGTGCACGGATACCAAGCCCCCCCCCCCAAGGCAGAGATCTAAAAAAATCTAAAAGCTAACTGCACAAACTCATTGTGTGATTTTTTTTTTGTAAGTCTCTAAATGAAACTGGATTTAAGGAGTAGAACAAAATGCAGAGAATAATTCCAGAGGGGTAGCTATGCTACAGCACAAACCAAAGCGGCATCTGAAAAAAATAAAATGACTTTCTTCTAGCATCAGCTTTCAGGGGCTCCAGTCCACAAATGCTTGTGCTGAAATAAAATCTTGTTTTTGTTCAACATGTCACTAGGCTCCTGTTTATTTTTACAGTGCCAAGAGAAATTCGGAAACAAGACAAGAACAGAACCAAGGAAATCTGTTCATATCCAGTAAAAAGAGGCTTACATTAAGTTGTGATTGCTACTATCAATAGTTTCAGCTGCACTGCTTTCTAGGGATTCAAAGACAGCTATCCAATAAACAGCGGTTGTCTTCACATACAGTATACTGGGTTTTGCACATGTACAATTGGCACACACAGAACACTTGCTGGCCAAAATCAGCTACACTGAAATCCTGAACAGCTACACGTTTCTAAGATTAGGGTTAGGATGGCACTATGGGTCAGTAGAGAACTTTAGCTGCCGCACTCAGCTGCCCGTTTGTTCCAGGGAAGACAGCTTGTTACTTACTCTTCTCTTAGATATTTGGCTGCAGACTCTTTCCTTCCCTCTTTTCTAACTCAGCTCCTGGGAGTCAAAAAAGAAGGTTGTAATCCACCAAGATTCAACACCTTTCTTCTGTCTTCAGACAAAACAAAACAAAACTTATGCTGATCTATCGTTTAACTGACCTATTCAAACCTATTGTTTCTAAGTCCAGCCAATTTAGAAAATGAACGCAATGTTCTGCAGACAGCCTTGTAAACGGCCAGAATAATTCAATGTAACATGAGACAATTATATAAGTGCGATTGCCTGGAGCCCTCCAGGAAAAGTGGAGAATCTCCTGCATTTGTTGTAAATAAACAAATCATAACCACAATTAATGCTAATAGCAGGAATGGCAAGACTATACAGTTCTGAACTCAGTGTAGCTTTATACTGTACAAAAGCTTCTGAGAAGCCTGCCTTTAACACGGTTCATTTGCAATTTTTAATGGATTGATCACATTTTGAGAGTTCTGCCCAGAATAAACAGAAACTTATTCTAGATCTATATTTCTAGATCACAGCAAAATATTCAGACTTGCATTAATTTATAAAACTTTGGAACACGGAGCATGATGCACAATTAAGCCAACTGTTTGTATGATGTGCAATGGTTATTCCGATGTGTAGTACTTTGTGTTTTTGACTGATGACATGATGTGAAAATGCAGATAATGATACGATATGAATGCGATGTGCCTCAATGATTTAAGTCAAAAAATGAACATCCATTTTTATGGATAAGTTGAAGACAAAAATAGCCACTAAGGTAGAATAACAGGTTTTGCACATCTTTGCTTCTCAATAGACTGAGTTCTTCAGTATGTCCCCTATCGATACAATGCAGTCAATACTGATGTTTCAATGCATTTCATTATGCTGGACATATAAGTTTCTTCTCATATTCAATAACTGGAGTAATCAAAGCAAGGTATGACAGTTAAAATACAATCATTAATGTCCTTGATTTCACCAGACTATATCTTGTTTGGACTATCCATAATAGATAGTTGAAATATGGCAGTACCTGAGGGAAATGTAGCTGTGTGTACTTTTCATTCATTACTTTATTTCTTCATGCTTAACTATAACAAATGATGGTCTGGATGAGAACAATCCACTATCTCTGTACAACTCTGTATCATTTGGCAATGATATAAAAAACCTGGAGCATACTTGGTGAAGCTAGTTCCTACTTTCTAAATCCGTATCAAACTCTGAAGCTCACTTCTATGTAAATCTTCCTTTTTGTATGCAACACACCTCATATCTGCAGCTGTGCACACACACACACACCCTTACACACAAAAACTGCATCCTCCCCCATGCAAATATATTATTTCATAGCAGCGTTTACTATAAATCCAGGGCCTCCCTTTTAAGCTCTGCTACAAAATAAGATATTAAACATTTCAACTCTCTGTAAGTT